CAGTTAAATGGTCAATATTTAGCTCATTACCTTGCTCCATACAAACTTTACAAAGCTAATGAATAGACTTATCAATAATTGTTTACCCGAAAATCCCTAAGTGGTAAACACCACCTTGGCCTGTTGGCCATTATTGAAGGCAATAAGTGCCCTTTTTAGCCATCCATTATGATCCATATACTGTTATTGTTAGTAGGCTAATTGCAACATTAAAAATAACACCTCAAAAAAGCTGAAAAAATAAAAAAAAATCAAATAAATAAAAAAAATCATGAAAAAATAAAAAAAATCATTGATTTTTTATTTTTTTGATTTTTTTAAAAAAATCAAAAAAATCGCCAACCCTGCTGTTAAGTAGGTACTTTTTAGATGCCCTCCAACCTCCATATTACATGTGCTGCAATTATTTTGTCAGACATTGATATAGATTGCTTCCTATCAAATGCAGTCATCAAACACTCAATTTGAACTCAATACCATTCATAAAAATTATGGGAATGAAATGACTGAATTTCTGATCTCAATCAGATCAGAGCCTTTTAATTGGTAACTGTATATAGCCCTATGGGTCAACCATGGTGTAACCAGTATTAGGTGGCACTCCGCCAGTGTTGCCACTTATACAGAAATTTTGACAAAGTTATGCGTTTAAATTTAAATGTACTCATCTTGTGCAAAATGAAATTATGAGTGATGGCCATACAAAAAAGTTCAGAGTTCAGAGTAACAAATTTTTTTACAAAAATTACCCTGGAAATAGGCCCATCTGGCAGCCCTGATTTTGTTTGTCAGACAGGAGCACCTTGCACTGCCAAGATACGGAGCAGTTCACTTGGTGGTATAAGTTTATTTGTAGGTTGCTTTTGATGACCTATCTAATTATTCTGGATCAAAACAGGTAAAATATTGATCTGAAACCAAGAATATAGAATGACACCAAGAATATATAATATGTATGACCCCCAGAGGTGGGTAGTAGCGTGCTACATTTTCAGTAGCGGTAGCGGTAGCGGTGCTACATATTTAAGTAGTAATTCGAGGCATTTGCTGCTACAGTGCTACCGCTACGTTTATAGATAAAGCCTTTAGATTTTACTTAATAGTATTAAATATTATTTAAAAAACAGCATGATACATACATAATATAAATTACAGAATAAAACTGTACGAAAGATTTTGGTGTAATGTTGTCAACCTCAGCCTGTAACTAGTGTCGACATGTTAGTTGTTACTTGTTAAGTTGTTACCAGTTACCACTTACAGGTATTTTTTCATGATCAGTTTGCTTGCAGTTATTTTTAGCTTTCACCTTCCCTACATGGATGTCTACTTTGATCTACCAATCTCAAAGATAATTCACATATACATACATATAAAAGACTGATTTTTTATATGTATATGTGGATAATTTTTGAGATTGGTAGATTAAAGTAGACATCCATGTAGGGAAGGTAATACATAAAAATAACTAACTTTTATTTACTGTAGGTATCTAATCCATACGTACTAGTTTGGTTAGGTTAATTGCAATAAAGTTGCATTGAACACTATAATGAACACTATGTTTGAACACTTTGTTTTATTATCATTAAATGTTTCTGAGTAAATCCCAATAGCAGAACAATAAATATTTAGAGATTTCCAATAATTTTGGCTATTGTAGGGGCTAATGTAGCAACGCTACATTTTATTGTAGCGGTAGCGCTCGCTACAATCTAGTGGGTGTAGCGGTAGTGGTAGCACCCACTACGTTTAGAGCATGTAGCGGTAGCGGTAGTGGCGCTACATTTCAAAGTAGCGCTGCCCAGCTCTGATGACATCAAGAATATATATCTCCATTGAGGAGTATCTTGACAGACAAGGTTGCAAGATTTGTGGTTATTTTTTTATTGAGGTTATTTGGATTGAATGGCATACTCTGTCAAGTGTAAGGCAATTAGAGTTAATATACTGAATGCCTACTAATAGCCCTGTAAAAATTTTATCAAAAATTCTACATCAGATGAAAGCTACCTACCATTGACAGTCATTCCATGAATAATGAACTTGCATTTATGTGCAGCTAAGAGTGTGGGCTTGACTGCCTTTGACATGTCGGGTCAAGCTCGATACCGCAACTTATGGGAGGCATATTACCAAGACTGCCAGGGCATCATATTTGTTGTTGACTCAAGTGAGAGACTCAGGCTTGTGGTGGCAAAGGAAGAGCTCGACATCATGCTCGAACATCCTCTGGTAAGCCAAAGTAATGTTTGTTATCAATTGCTTATAGAACTGCAGCTATCAGTTTCATCTCCTAATCAAAAATAAAATTACCATTCAAAGCTTGTATTCTGCATTTGTTGATTTGGTGGTTGATAAATCCTTTATAGATGGGTATGTATACAGTTTTAAAGCGTCATTTAAATCAAACTTTATGAATGTTCTGGCCTTTCTTTTAAGTAACTTTATCTTCTTTAGTTTATTGAGAATTATGTTGATAAGGCAATCTAAAATCAAGTGACTGTAGATCACATAATTCATGAGTATGCCAGTCTTCTAAGAAAAAGTAAATGCATAATGCATGCTATGTTATTACCTTTTTTTTAAATCATTTCTTCATATCCTTATGTTTCAGTTGTTTGCAATAATACCTACCGTATGTTTCTTCTCAGTAGGCCTTATTTTAAATTAGTACTTGATAGAACAACAAGCTACATGAAGTCAGACTTCGAAATCTATATTGAACCTGAGTTGTTCCTCAGTTGTCTATGAGTTGTGGGTCTTGTGTAAAAATAACATTTTGTTTGTATTAAGCACTTTTGTGGTAAAGTTTTACCAATAAATATATCTTTTATGCAATTTCTCTACTCATTAATGATTGATTTCTTCTTTAATACATTCTGAATGTTGTAGTAGTATATGTATACTATATATACAAGTATTTTGTTGGATCTTCAAGTTGTATAATTCAATCCATTTGCTTTGTATATTCACATTAGAATCTTGTATTGCATTGAAAAATTGGTTCCTAATGTAAACATTTTGATTTATAATATAGGGCCTTGTAATGCACTAACCATTTTTGTGTTTTTCATGCTGTAATAGTTGAGCAAATGTTTCAGATCAAGCCCCGACGCTTGCCTATCCTCTTCCTGGCCAACAAAATGGACCTGCGTGACGCCATCAGCTCAGTGAAGGTGTCAGCAGCTCTTGGTCTGGACCGCCTCACTGACAAGCCCTGGCACATCACTGCCTGCAACGCAGTCACGGGCGACGGCCTGCACGAGGGCATTGACTGGCTCTCGCAGATGATCAAAGATGCTGTCGATAAAAATGCCCAAAAATTGTAATGAGTGGAGCAAGCGTAACACTTGTGCCTAGAACTCTGTCAGCAATGTCATTTCTTATTTTACTTGGTTAGCCGATAACTTTCTATCATTGCTTATTTTTACGTTTCAAATAGAGAATGCAATAATTTTTCTCAAAATATTAATAGACTCACAATTGAATCGCAATAGAAAAAGGGGTAATTTTAGATTATGCACATAATATGATAATATGTGATGCACTCTGCATGAATACTGAGAGGAGTCCTCGGAAGTCGGAGTCATGTCAGCCAGGAATAGAACATTAATGCCGGGCACGTGCCAAGCATTTGCCAGTCCAGTCCAATATTCTTCAATGCATTTTCATAGACATTTACACTATAGGCATGGCAGGTGCTTTACGCGGCTGGTGTGAATGCTTCTATAGAAATTCATTTAAGAATATTAGACTGGACCTTGACTGTCACGTGCTCGGCAGTGTTTAATGCATTTTCATAGAGTGTCTAGTAAATCTGAACAGATTTTCTTGCTCTCACAAATTTTTTAGATCTCATTTATAGTGTGAACCCGGCCTAAGTGCTCCTGAGTCTATCAAGGCACGAAGTATTTTCATTACAACCAAAGATACATTTCCTGTTTTTTTTTCAAAAAAGCGAGTGACTTTTGATCTCTTAATATTTAATAGTGTTATTCTATATAGTCTTAATTTTATTTACTTTATTTTCGGGATTTAAACCGAGTTTTTTCAGCATTTTTGACAATAATTTGTGCGTCCATTGAAAATTTTTACTTAGATGTCAAAAGATTTTCTTGCTCTCACAAATTTTTTAGATCTCTTTTAACGAACAAATTAAATATGTTCTGGTTGAATAGCTTCTTGCAAGTCATTGTTGATTGAATATTTCCTCCCGTGCAGACAAGCACCCTGGTAATTCAGATACGCTCTCACCACAACTCCCATAATGATCATCCTATTTTGATAAGTCGAAGTTGTGAAGTTGTTTTTATTCACTGAACATTCTTTTAGCATTTGATTAGTGTACAATGACGAACGTATTCCGTACAATAGATTCTTTTGAATAGTTTCTTTTTTTGGGAGCTACTACCAAAATTAGATTATAATTTAATAGTCTAGTCCACTCAATTTTCGGATTAGTGTGGAATTTTCTTCATAATTTCATGGAATAACTTATATTTACCCAGAATGTCGTTCTAATAATCACTCGTGATAAAATGCTTTGCATAAAATTCCCAGTGAAATTCGTTCCACTCGCCAGATAGTAAATTCAATACTAATAGCTTGGCCATTAATTGAATTTGCACACCTGAACGTCAGTTACGTTAAATTCCCGGGTGAAAAAGTCTTTAAACAAACATCCGTAGCTTGTCTACACCCGTCCTTACGTGTTTGAAGGGCAGCTCTTGCCTGCGCCAAACTCATACGACGAAGGCCTGGACTATGCTTGTGTCTTTCACGGTGTTTGCTTTTTATTGGTAACATGTATCACGGTGTTTGCTTTTTATTGGTAACATGTAATGGCGTATCATTGAAGTATTATTGGTACCAGGTCATTGTAATTTTCTGCACTCGCATTATTACTGCTGGGTCAAGACTCGTACTTATTATTCTACAAGGAATGTTCTAGTCATCTATGATCTCGTTATTTTCTTCTAGTCATCTATGATCTTGCTCTTTGCTTCTAGTCATATGATAGAATAGAAGTGTCGGCGTTGAAGAAATAGGCCCATGGCCTATTGAATCGCTCATATCGCTATGCACAACGCAATTATAACACAGTTTTCCAATTACACATGTGGTATATTGTGCAGCTAATTAATTACAAGCAACGCACGAATATGTTTCTTTGTAAAAATTTCATCTTTTGCTTTATTCTTTATTCATTGCACAAGAACATTAATATTGTTTAGCTAAGACTATTAGTATAAGCTTAAGAGCTGCACGTTTGTGGAACTTTCGAGAATTTTTATGTGCAAATTCTGTCATCTGATTTTGGAGAGTCTTGCTCTTTAGATGGAAGTGAACTTTTTGCCATTATCAGGCCTTTAGATATTGCTTCACTCGACATTGAACCTGAAGGGTTTTCTCTTAGAAACTTTTACATTTCACTTGTGATCATCTCCATAAAAAAACTTGGTATTTCGTGTCGAGCCCTCTTTGTTAACGTAAAGCTATTCATTAGTATTTAAGCAGACTTACCTCATATCTGCATGACCACGCCAGGTTGAGATAAATTCCGTCCATTACTCTGTGATCAGGCTTGTCCAAATATAAGTATGTTTTAAAAGCATGACCAAATGATATCCCAATTCACGACGCTATACGTTTTTCCGAAAGGCGCAGTCACACTCTGTGCATTAATTAAATTGCATGTAGTTTGATATATTTTAATGTTGCTGCGCCGTCTTTGTTCTTGTATGGGCACCTGAAAGATGTACATGAAAATGCTTCCCGTCGCTGCGAGTTTAACTTTGGGATAACTGGAACAATCCTGCTACTTTTGACTGGGGTATTTAGCTCGCACTATTGTAATGCATATACAGACCACGAAATCATTTTCAACGAGAAGGCGTCCAATGGTAATTGGTTGTATGATAGAAACATATTTGTTCTTGTATGGGCACCTGAAAGATGTACATGAAAATGTTTCCCGTCGCTGCGAGTTTAACTTTGGGATAACTGGAACAATCCTGCTACTTTTGACTGGGGTATTTAGCTCGCACTATTGTAATGCATATACAGACCACGAAATCATTTTCAACGAGAAGGCGTCCAATGGTAATTGGTTGTATGATAGAAACATCACATACACTCGCGAGTCAAGCATTTGTTGCCAGGAATGAAATGTCAATCTATACATGCTGCCCAGCGATACAAAAATAAATCGATACTCTAGGCCATAGCACAGAATGGAATGTGTAATACGGCCAGTTCGAAAAAAAACACGCCAGTTTAATTGTACGTTTATCTCGATCGCAAAACGTCGGAATGATGTCAAATCATGTGATATTTTATACGAAAGAGAAAGCTTATTGCAAATGATGGTTTAAAGATTAAGGGTATGAGACTAATCCAAAAGACTAAATTATCACAGTTTATTCTCAATTCAAAATTATTGAATACAATATCGACAAACACTTATTGACTGCGAAACTCATTTTTTTGGCCAAAATTAATCAATTACAAGAATTTCTACTAATCGTCAAAAAGCCGAACCTGGGCTTCTAAGTCTGAAATTCTGAACCTTGGAAACTTGGAGTTTGCGGCAAGTAAGAAGTTCTGATCGCGACGAATTTATTACTTTTAACTGCAATAAGCTTTGAGATCAATGGTTTCTCTCGGTTTGTATCAACTCCGGAAGTTGCAGAACTGGAAGCTAATGAGTTGAACAATATTGAAGAGAAGATTAATTAGTCATGGGAAACACGCGGACATTCTAAGTAGATGAATAATAATACATTGAATATATATTAAGATGGCGGTGATGACACGTCCATAGGGAGACTGAGTCGCAGCTTAAAAATGATCGAATTTGGCGACGTGACGTCGGCGACCACGAGCTGCACTCCGTCACTCAGGCCCAAGTCTGCGCAGCAAAAACAAGGTGAATAAGAAAGATTATAAGACGATAAGAAGGCCGCTTTGTTTTTTAATTAACCCTCTACCGCCGTATGTCACTCTCCGGGTACGCAACTTTCAACTTAAGTTATACGTAAACTATTGAGTGTAGCAATACGAGGACGTTTGTACGCAACAGAGAACATTTTAAAGTTGTCGTACGTGGCGGCAACTATCAGTGCAAGTCATTTTGCGCTCACAAGCACGCATCCTTTTTGTGAAGCAGACTTGTGACAATAGTGCACCGGTTATTAATGTCAGGCGGAATAGGGTTAAAAAATAACACTACTTCAAACTTATAAAATACCGAACAATTAATTTTCCAATTGAAAAGTACTTATTGGTATTCCTCAAATATTGTTCAGGACGTCCTGATTCGAGGATTGCCTGAGGGGAAACTGAGAATCAAGCATGAAGGATCAAAATGATTGCTTCTCGTAGTTGATAATTTCTCCCGGACGAATATTTCATAGAACCAAAAGATATTTAGAACCTGAGATTAATGCTATAAAATTTTACGAATTACAAACCTTCTTTCACTTTTCACTTCAGAGAAGCTCCCGAGCAACAAGTGACTGACCAGAAAACGATGCAATTTTTGTGTTCCCATTACGGTGGGCTATGAAGCACCTGCTAGATATTCTCTTCAGTCAGTGTTCTCACCCTCCCGCACCAAAACAAAAATTAGACAGATCGTTGTGAAATGATCTGTCTACCGACATTTAAAAAATGACATGGAAGCGCATACCGTGAGCCCCACAACCACTCACCAGCTAAAGACATTTTAAGATGTGGTCTAAGTTTTTGTTCTATAGATGCAGGCGAGTGCAGATACAGGGACTTAGTCTTGCCTTCTATCATCGCTTGAATGCCAGGGTTGCTCATCTGCAAGTCACAAGATAAAATTTACATTCATGTCAAGATAGAAAAGTTGAAATTTTTTTACTGATAAAATTTTTTTCTTTTATTATCAAAATTTATTCTGTCTGAGTTAAGTTTTTAACTTTTCTATGCACTTAAGAAGTCTCAAATTTCAAATATTCGACTAATGAACCTGAATATTGACCGACCTTCTCTGTCCGAAGGGAATTATTGCACATTATAGAGAATTTGACCATTAGTGGACATTGGCAAATACAATATTGTTTCATTTATGAGGCAAGTATGAGGAAAAAGAGGTATGAAAGAAGAGCTAATATTTTAGTCAACTCTACGCTAGCGCCAAAAGCAGATTGACAGATTGATATTACAAAAGCTCTTGTGACATAATATGTAGTGCTGGCCAAGATGATGTTTTCAACTCGTTTCCATGAGGCATCAAACTGGATTTTTTGATTTTCGCTTTCAATTCAATTTTTTTCACAGAGATATTATCTGTATATGCGGTAACACTTACTTGATACTGCGGAGAATCTTTCAATTTGTCAATCAGATTTTGTAAGGAGTCTGTAGGAGCCATGGACAGCTCTTGTGGCACCTGGCTGCATACCAAGCAAGTGCTCTGTAAACAAGTTACAGACAAGATGAAGGAATGAGTAAAAAACTGAATGCAAAATGATAAATTAACCATAATGTAGGATGTGTACTTTGGTAACAATCTAACGCGCGTGACCAACATATGAGCGAGTTCTCAGCAGATCACACAACTGAACAAATTTGTCATTCTATATATATTTTAAAATGTTATTTTCAAACGATTAGTCGTGAATGCCTTTTGAGTCACCTTTTTCTCGTGTTCGTAAGTATAGGTGTAGATGCCGTCAGCGTCGTTGAAGACGCAGTAGTTGTTCATGTGGTGCGCGACCTGCGTGGCGACCTTGAGGCACTCTGTGGCGCACGCCGCGGCGATCACGGCGTTCGTGGACGCCACCGCCGGGATAATGTGCTTGATGACGCCCTGCGTCAGGCGGTACGTCACCCCAGTGATATCTGCGACACATAATTCAGACGTCATGGTGGTACTGGCATACAAGCAATTCGGAGTTATACCATAAAAAATGGTGTCAGAACTAGTAATTGAATCAATTTCGAAGTAGTGTGAGTCGTAGGTCTGACAGTATTCCATAAATCTTTCATGGGGCATGATTGTTCTCGATTAAAATCTGAGTAAGGCTCATGTTAGATTGGTGATGATGGTCGAGGTCGCCTGATGACACCCATCAGGCGAGTCATTTTTAATATATCCATGAATTTTTAACACATCCATCCATTTTTAAATCAACCATCATGTATTTCAGGACTGTTACTAGTCATGAAATGTGCTAGTTTTGACCTGTGCTTTTCATGACTGGTGCTAGCGAAGACAGGTGGCAGTGATGACTGACGCTAGTGCTAACTAGTAGCAGTGATGATTGGTGCTGGTGATGGTTGTTGCTACAGAATTTTTTTGGAAGTTATACCAGACACTATTTCAATAACAAACAATAACCAATAGTTTTAGTTAAGTTAACCTGGTACATCAGCAGTCAGTCAGAGCACAGATGTTCAAAATAACAGAAAATTCAGAAGCTAACAAATATAAACAGAAATGAGAAAGTCGGTGCGCAAGAGTAAGGATGAACTCACTGAACTCAGCAGCGCGCTTCAAAGACTGCTCGTATATCCATGAGATGTGCTGGGGGTCATCGCCATCTATAGCGCACTCGTCCCCCCCGAAGGGGTTGTCCTTAGGCCACAGCAGCACCTTCACATACTCTATGCAGTGCTCTGGCAGGCGCGGCGTGTGCGCTATTGTGCACATAGGGAACGTTATCTGCAAACATCGGACCACACATACAATAACATTGGTGGCACCTTGATGGGTCTGCAGATGAGGTACAGTAAGGAGTCTGCAGATGATGTACAGTAACGAGTCTGCAGAGTGAGGTACAGTAACGGGTCTACAGGTGAGGTACAGTAACAGGTCTACAGGTGAGGTACAGTAACGGGTCTACAGGTGAGGTACAGTAATGGGTCTACAGATAAGTAACACTGTAATGAGTCAGCAGAGCAAAACTCAAGAAACTCGTTCTATTTTCATCTTTACAGAGATGGAATAGTTAGGTGAATTTCCAGTCAATAGTGTGCGATCGGAATTTTTATTCTGAAAGTAAAATATTCCCTGCAGTCTAAAAAATTGTGTTAACTCAATGGATTCGCGCAAATAAAAAAAGTTGACAGCAAAATAAATAATAGGCAACAGCAAAATGTGTCTACATTCTTCACCATTAAGTTATTATTATTCATACAGAAAATCAGCAACAGATTTGATGTAAGAACTTTCGTATCCTACCTGCACTGAATAGTAGTGTAGATTGAGGAGACAAGACAAATATAGTAATTCCGTATAAGGCCAAACAAATGAATAAAGCCTAGCAATAATGACTGCTTATGATCATACTTGAGGAGGGAAACTTTGTGAGTTATTCATTATAATCATACTCCGTATATGGTCAATCTCAAACACATGCCTAGCAATAATGACTGCTTGTAATCATACTTGAGGCGGGAAGAGATCAAGCGTGCACTCGATGCAAGCCGTCATGCCAGGCAGCACGACGCGGGCGCTGCCTTTGAAGCCTTCTGTGCCTCCATCAATGAGAGGGATAATGCTGCTCTGCAATGGCAAACATGATTTATTAAGCCATTTTCCATGAAATTGTTAAGAACTTTATGGATTAAAAAAATTGTTCTCAAGGTAAATTTCTAGAGTGCAAAGGATTATCTACCTTGTACACTGAATTATTTAATAACATGCTATTTAAGAGAAAAATTACGTTATTTCAATACAATATTTCTGAAATTATTTTGTACAAAAAATGAAGCAGTTCCAAGAAAACAACAAATCACTTCTCAATGAAAACTAATGTTAATATGCCGTAAAATAAATGGCATATTATAACATGAAAAGGAAACTAATGTTAATATGCCGTAAAATAAATGGCATATTAACATGAAAAGAAAACTAATGATAATATGCCATAAAATAATGTTCAGTGCTGAAAAATAGTCAATTTAAATAAAATAATTTGCTACTTGAAACTCCAGATTTAACAAGCTTAATTTTTCTTGAATTAACTTTCTTACATTCTTAAGAGTTGAATATCTGTCTAGAGATCTACATTTTAGGACAATGCAGTGGATCAAAACGATGAGTGGTGTTAACATCAATACCTGGTCAAGCTCGCCATCTGTGTACTGCAGGAGAGACACCAGCACGCTGTTAATCCAGCGCCGCGCCACCACCGAGTCCAGGCCACACACAATAATGTGGAACTGCTGGTACCAGGACTCATCAAAGTCTTGGATTTTACAATAGTGTCTGGGAAACTTTTAAGGTAAAATTTACATCATCAAATGATCAATTTGATGGTACGCAGTCCATGAGAATTATCCAGAGTAATACAATCATAATCATATGTACATCTCTTGGTCTATAAACTTCAAGATCCCCTCAAGTAACAAGTACCCAGAGTTTGGTTAGACACACCAACCTAAGGGCTAAGGCCATGCTGAAAGCCCCACTAGTGACACTGAGAAATGAACTGAGCTTACCAAGGCTTGAACCCATTGCTAGCTTCTCTCATTTTGGTGCAGTCATGATTGTGCAAACAGTGACATTAACCAATGTGCTTCAGAGACGCAAATAGTTACATGAACTTTCATTAAAAATCTTTCTAAAGGATTGGTCATTAGAGCAATTGTCAATGGACATGTCAACAGGTTTTTTGTACAACCGAATATAGAAATTTTATTTCACTTGGAAGGAAGATTTACCGTATATCAAAGAGGTTATCTAAAATTGTACCACTAATACATTATACATAGGTACATTTATGTATGGAATGGTTCTTTTGTAAGACCAAAAATAATACTTTTCTTCTTTGAACATGAAGAAGAGTAAATCAAGTAAAGTGTTTCATCAAGTAACTTGCTCATTAAAAGGCAAACATCAACATTGATAATGAAATCCAATTGAATACTGTAACAATCAAATCATGCTTTCTATTCAACTTCTAGTAACAAGTTTCAACTATGGTAGACTCCACACTGGAGAATCGTGTAAATAAGTAAAAATGTAATGCATTCACCACAAAAATCTGATTGCCATCCTAAATTGCAGTTAGTCACAGATTCCAAATGATTGCCATATCACAAATATGTCTGAAATTTCAAAAATTAGTGCAATTAAATGCTGAAAAAACTTTTGGGCAGCTCTCCATTCTTACATTATTGTTAAAAAAATTGGTTTTCATTACAATGAAATAATTAAAAAAAAATTTAATGATGATACTTGAAGCAATAGAAAAAAGAAGAATCTTGGATGGTATTTTAATGCGATATTTATTAATTTCTTCCAATTACAAGTTGTAGTCCCTTTTAAATTTAATATAAGATTGAAAATAATACATAAATGCATTTACTTTCAAATTCATGAGTGAGGTGAGAAAGCTCATGATAAAGTTATTTTTGTCAGTTTGTTCTGAATAGTAAAATTCATGAACAAGTATTTTCTGAATACTAGAATTTTATCATTCATGCCTTATAAACTACGAGATTAAAGGATACGGAGTAATTTTACAGCTGTCAACCCTGCTGTTGATGAATTCAGCAGCCACCTCTGCCTTGGGTCGACCAATATCTTTCTTGCGGAACAAGAACTGTCGGTTTAGATTTGACAAGTCGATAGTGTCCATGTCAATGACGTGGATGTCTCCAAAGCCCAAAAATGCTAGATTTTTAAGGAGATCACAACCCAGTCCTCCTGCACCTGCAACACAAACATGAAGATGACTATTAAAGATAGGAGCCTCATATTTTATTGAGTAATTCATTAATAATCAAAAGTTATATTCTAACCTTGGGACACTGAGACATAATTTTTTTCCTCATATTCAAATGACTACCTACTAAGGCATAAAGTTTTTTTATAACAAGCTGGCTAACACTATATTACAAATAAACAAACTTTTATGAGATATCTTGTAATTAATTAGATGGAATATTCCATTTGAATACTACCCACCGGTAGTGACCAATACTGTATGTAAAGATTATTGATAAATTTCTGTTGCAATAAAATAAGTTTACAAAAATTTAAAGAACAATACTCATGGTTAGACAATAAGAATATTACTACAATCAAAATACCGTGAGCCAATTCAAAATAAAAATGATTTTACACATGAAGCAAAGAAGTACCATAACTAACTTACCCACAACAAGAATTTTCAAATTGTGAAGTAAAAAGTCCAAAGCTTCAGGGGAGGCTTCAAAACTTTGAGGAGTGAATGGGCCTGGACGTTCCAACAACTTTCGCAGATCAGTCCAGCGAGAGGAAGTTTCACTAGACATTTTACTACTTTTTAAAATGATATTTATAGAAATAATAATCAAAAGCTGCACACAGAATTGAAATAGTATTACAGAATGAAAACATGCCTAAAGAAGGGACAGCAATTTGGAAAGCAGTTCAATGATCTGCTTATTGGGACATTCTCCACCTTGCTGCAGCCAATGAGGTTAGGTCCAGCAAGGTTTGTTTGGGTGGAGAGTCGAGGCACCTGTGAAGGAAGGTGTATGCTGAGGTATAGATGCCATGAAGACCATAGGTACTGGCTGGAGCAATAGCTGTTGGCTGATGATGTACATGGCTCTCAGCACTTCAAAGGCTAAGTTCAAAGGCTAGATCATCCTACTCAGATCATCCAGCCCTGCTCAGATGCATGCTTGCCAACAGGAAGAATATGAAAGTGATGCACAACATGCAAGCATTAATTCTGGCTAATAAATAAGCCTCTCATGTGCTCAGTGTACTTTTTGGCATAGCAGAGGGAGGTGCAATGTAGTAGGCTTCCTGTATAGATATATTACCTATCCAAAATTCTACACTGCCATAGCGCTTATGTTGCCAGCCTTAAAAAATGTTTTGTTAACAAAATTTTGCAGCAACTTTCTAGTGCATGTGGAGGAGCTTCTTTGCTATTATGTACCTAGCAATCAAACAACAAAACTAACTCTTCTATTAATAAGTGTAATTCTGTCCAGTAAAGGTTGAGTCTAGGAGACTAGAAAGTGTCTTTATTTCTGTTATGCATTTTGAAAAGAAAAATATTTTGAATCATGAACCCTAATTGCCCCCTTTGTCTCATGCTACAACCTTGTGCCTAATGATTTCTGCCCTCCATACTGTTAAGTACTTTTTAGATGCCCTCCAACCGCCATATTACATATGCTGCAATTATTTTGTCAGACATTGATATAGATTGCTTCCTATCAAATGCAGTCATCAAACACACAATTTGAACTCAATACCATTCATAAAAATTATGTGAATGAAATGACTGAATTTCTGATCTCAATCAGATCAGAGCCTTTTCATTGGTAACTGTATATAGCCCTATGGTCAACTATGGTGTTTTTTTTTATTATAACTAACTTATACAGAAGTTTTGACACAGTTATGTGCTTAAATTTAAATCTACTCATCGTGAGCAAAATGAAATTTTGAGTGATGGCCATACAAAAAAGTTCAGAGTTCAGAGTAACAAATTTTTATACAAAAATTACCCTGGAAATAGGCTCACCTGGCAGCCCTGATTTTGTTTGTCAGACAGGAGCACCTTGCACTGCCAAGATAATGGAGCAGTTCGCTCGGTGGTAAAAGTTTATTTGTAGGTTGCTTAATGATCTATCTAATTATTCTGGATCAAAACCAGTAAAATATTGATCTGACAGCAAGAATATAGATCTCCATTGAAGAGTATCTTGACAGACAAGGTTGCAAGATTTGTGGTTATTTCTTTATTGAGGTTATTAGAAATGAATGGCATTCTCTGTCAAGTGCAAGGCAATTAGAGTTAATATACTGAATGCCTACTATTAGCCCTGTAAAAATTTTTATCAAAAATTCTACATCAGATGAAAGCTACCTACCATTGACAGTC